AACTGCAGGGAACTCTGCAAAAAACGCATCTTCGCACGGGCAGCCCGTGCGTTGGCCAATTTTTCAAATTTTTTTATCAGAATTGGTCGGTGTGACTGCTACGACAAATTCATTATTTTTTAAATCAATTTGGCTTTTTTAGTTATATATGGTGACAACTGAGGAAGAAACTGATGAAGGCGAAGAGGAGGATATCGAGGTGCCAAAAGCTATGGGCGATATTTTCGAGTCGGTTGCCGGCGCCATATACCAGGCTACTTTCAGTGTCTTTGTTGCTTTTTTTTTAAACAACTTAGAAATCAAACGATTTCAACAGCTTAATTTTCCAAATGCTTCCAGGGTCCCGGTTTTATGACGCTCGTAAAATTCATTTCAGTGTCCGCTTTCGTCCCCATCATTTTTAATTTTTTAGGATAGCGGCAGAAGCCTGGATGTTGTTTGGAGGATTTTCTATAATTTGATGAAGGAAACAATTGAAGAATGTTGCAGCAATCCGCCTCGATCGCCCGTTCGTGAACTGCTAGAAATGGAGCCCGATCGGGCACGCTTTTCGTATGCTTTAAATTTATATCCTTTCAAATGTTCACCATTTAAAAAATTTCAGTTTGTAGTTCTTAGTGCTTGTTTTTTGATAAATTCTGTGGAGTTTTGTGCGCAGAAAGGCTAAAGCTTTCATGTAAAGATGTGCTGTTAAAAAATTAAATTTTTGCAGCAAACTGGAAAGAATATTGGAATCAGGCAAAGTGCGTGTAACAGTTGATATCCTGGGAAAATGTCGTTTCACAGGAATGGGCCGTAGTTATCGGATAGCAAACTATACTGCAGCTAAACGAGCTTTGCGATATTTGCGAAGCTTGAAAAATCGAAAGGAACGAGCTGCTATGAAAATTTAATTGTTTCATTAATTAGGTCGTTAACTGTATGTATGAATGGTTGCTGCTTTAAACTTATATTGTTCTTTTACTCGTGTAAATCATCATAAGTTTTGCATAAAGGAAAATGAGTGATTTCCATCAAACAGTCGTTCCTTGAGAACTATAGGCTGGACGCACCAGGCTTGCTGATGCGATCATGCGTTTTTGCACTAAGCTTAAAGTAGTCAAGTCGTTAACCATATGAATGTTTGCTGCTCTACGTTTACATTGTTCGCTCACAAGCACAAGTCATCATAGGTTTTGCATAAAGGAAAATTGGCCAACGCACGGGCTGCCCGTGTGAAGATGCGTTTTTTGCAGAGTTCCCCGCAGTTTTT